GATAAGAGTTGTATGAGCCCCTAATAAAATGATTTAAAAAAAAACACAATTGAAAAGTGAAACTGGTTAGGGATGATTCTGAAAGCAATTAAGAGTTCTTCCAAAGGTATTTTGATCAAAGCAGTCACTGGTGGGTTATGGGTAAAACTTTCCAATAGACAATACTCATAAAATAAGTTATTTCTCAAACCATAACCACTTGCTAGTCATAACATCTAAAAGAATACTGACTTAAAGTAATATACCTTGAAATTCACATATTAGTGGATCAACATGTGAAACTTTCTGTCTTGGTCTAACATCGATAGACTTAAGATCAGAAACCATTAGATAATCCACCCTCCAAACTAAAGGTGACAAAGGAAACTAATATTCAAGCTTATAGTAGGATGCTATTTTTAAGTTTTATCATGATAGAAATAATACAGAAAAAAACTAACAGAAGGCCTCCTACCCACTAGTTAAATGATTTCTGAATGTCTAGGCTGTTCCCTCAATTTTCTTATCACCTAGCTAGGGTGGTCAAGTCAGTCTGTTTAAGTGGCAATCTCAGATCAGAGAGAGGTCTGCCTCTCCTCAGTTGGGGAAAATTCTACAGGAACAAAGACTACTTAGGAATTATCTATCTAGTTAGCTATCGATCGATCTATCTATCTCTACTTAGGAATATCATCTATCCATCCATCCACCCATCACACCTTAGGAAAAGAAACTTACTCAAAAGCAGTCATGTATGTGTCTTTGTACCAGTCAACAGAAATGTCTTATCTATTCTACGGAACTTATATTTTAAGAAAAAGCTAGCAAAACTCAGTCCTTGAGTATCAAAACTAATGGTTAAATGGTGCCAGCATAAAAGTAAAGGAAGGATAGTAAAAGTCAAAAGAGAAAGTCGTGAAAAGACTGTCGATGGTGAAAGTAACCAGATTCTGCTTGGCCTAAAGAATGTGGAGAGACAGCAGCAGAGATGAGCCTGTGGTCATGGACAGGGTCAGATGATGTTCACATGGCGTCAGTGCCCACACCACAGACTCTACTAGCTTTGGGTTTTGAGGGGGCAGCAGTCAGGGGATCACATTTTCTTCTTTCTCTAACAATAAGCATTAAACAAAAGGGTGCTGAAAGGTAATTATCAGTTGTTTCAAAATCGGGAGCTGTAAGGTCTCTTGAGCTCTTAAGAGGGAAAACAGAACATACCCTTTTAATATCAGTGATGGCGCTCACAGAGCTGGGATATTTGAAATAGTCAGCAAGCATGGCAATGAGGTGATCAGTTATACTAGCGATTCTCTGTAGCTCAACATCTGGTTCAATCAGATAAGCGAGTGTCTCAGCTCCTTCAACTCTCTCCTCCAGTAATCTCTCCTTACTGCACATCCGAACCAGACAAGGCAGGGTCTGAAAGGTGGTGAGATTATTTGCGTTTTAGTACAGGCAAAGACAGCTTGATAGAGAGCATAACAGAATGAATCAACTCAATGGCTTTTATAGGGAGTCATGTTTATAATCAATGTTCCCTTAACAACTATCAAATAATTTTTAAAATTTAATGCAAAAAACAAGCAAACTGCAGCACGTATTAGTAATTCATAGACTGATGTACTAACAGCTAATCACACATTCAATCTACATTAATACGAATTCTAACAAGGCTCTTTGACCGATAAGACTGAAGCTTTAAACCTTGGAAAAGGCATTTAAGAGTCTCTAAAATTACCATATACACTCGAGTATAAGCTGACCCAAATATCAGCAGAGGCACCTAATGTTACCACAAAAACTGCATTAAAAAATGTGCTGAAAAACTCGGTGTATTCACGAGTATATATGGTATAGCTGAGGGTTCTCCTCTACATATGTATTTATTTATGGAAGAGATCAGTGGCTTAATTAAAAATAATCTAGATTTAGAAAAACGATGCTGTTTTTTCTTCAACAACAAATATGACTGTGATGACTAAATTTCATTTTTGGTTTGGCGATTACAATCTATCATTGCAAAAACCAAACACAGCCTTAAAAATCTTACCTTTACTCAGATCTTACTAGTTTCCCTGTAATCCAAGTAAAATGTTGTAATCACAGCTCCTAGTTTTCCCCAATGACCCCTCAAAATGACTGGTGGTTTCAACTAATCCATATTTACCTCTGTAATCTTTCAACTCTTGGACACTGATCTTGGTGGTTTATCTACGTTAAGCCAACCAAATCAAACCCACTGCCTCAAAGCAGAATCTGGCTGTTAGTGCCCTGAAGGGCAGAGTCGACCTGTCCTGTGGGATTTCCTAGGCTGCAAATCTTCACGGAAGCCAACTGCCTTGCCTTTCTCCAGGAGAGTGGCTGGTGGGTTGGGAGCACTAGTCATGGCTGAGCAGCCAAGCAGATACCCACTGTGCTACCTGAGCTCCTTTTATTGACATGGTAACAATATTCCATGGGATTTATAATTTCCAGTGCTTACTAATCTATTTCAAGGGCATTGTGAAAATAGAAATCGAATGTTTATAACTATAGGGTGCCCTGCACAACTACTAATCAATTGTATTCTGCTACTTTCTAAGTTCAACTGCATTTAACCATAGAGCTAAGTGCTTTGTTGCTCACTGCTGATTTCCTGCCTATTAGTTCAGGCTCCACAACACAATTCTAGGAGGGACATACATTCTTATTTTCTTAGGAATGGTTTGCTAACGTGTATCAGTCCCACATCTAGAAGCTAGACTATTGAATTTATTGGTCACAATTCTACAAGAAAGACGCTGTTAACTCAGTTTACCAATGAGGAAGAAAAGAAAGGGTAGAGAAGTTAACAAAGTCTGGTCTGTGACTAAGGTCTCACAAAAGGCCATGGCCCTCTAGCAGAGAGGTTTATTTAGGAGGTCAGCAGGTCTTATTAGTGGATTCTTCATTAAAGACTAAAGCAAGGGGTCAAACAATGGAAATGTGGGTAAAAGAGACAAAGGACAGTGTAAGATATGAACTAACAACAACAATATATAATTGATCAAGGATACAGGAGGGTGGGAGGGTCAGGGAGGAAGGGGGAAAAAGAGTTTATATCAAGGGCTCAAGCAGAAAATGTCTTGGAAATGATGATGACAACATAGCTACAAATATGCTTGATACAACTGAGGTATGGAATGTTTTAAGAGCTCTAAGAGCCCCCAATAAAATGATGGGGGGGGGAACCTTCAACACTAGTCTTGATGTCTTCATCCTTGGTCTCACCTTCTAAACAATGTCTAGAGATCCCACGTTCATAAGTTAACACATGGATAAGTTATTCATATTGATTTTGTTCTTTACAGCTAATAAGAAATTTTAATATAGTTAATAGATTATCATCTTCACAATATAATTGTGGGGTAGGTTGTAATAATTGCCTCCATTTTCACTTGGAGTCTAGGTGTGCCCAAGGTTAACACGCTAATCAAGGATAAAGTGCTAGAACCAGAATCGAGGCCATATAGGTTTAAGAATTGGTGTCTTCTCCAGGTTTAAGTTCTAGTTACAGTTGACATAACATTATGGTGCCAACTGCTTTCTTGTGTTATTTACTTCTTATCAGTCATCATGCCTTTTGATTATCTGTCATGGAAGTGATATAAAGTCTTTATTCTGACAACAAAATTTATTGCAAACTAGATGAAATCAAAGATTACAATATAATATTTTCTATTTCACCTGAATATTACATACTCATGCAATTTCTACATTGAATTTGAATTTCTATAAAAACTAGAAAGTTGTAACAGGAAAGGATTATCTTACTTTGACTTTCAAAAAACACCTAAAACCAGTATTTTAAAATATTACATCCCAGTGAAAACAATACAGTGGTTTTAATGTTATTTTATGCCATGCACACATACCACAATGATTATATGTCTAAAAATAAATAGGAATAACAATATTTATATTTATCACTTATGTGACTGGATCATTCTTATGGAAGAATTAATTAGCTTACCTTTAATACAATACAGTTATCATCTGTCCGAATGGCGCCAGCTCTGCACATATAAGTTAAACTGCAATAAGATGGCAGAAAGTAAGCTTGTGTTTGCCTTCAAAAGATTGTTTAAAGAACAACAAAGACCATCAAGTACTATCATTTCTTTAGAGCAGCGTTTCTCAACCTGTGGGTCGCGATCCCTTTGGGGGTCGAACGACCCTTTCACAGGGGTTGCCCGATTCCTAACAATAGCAAAATGACAGTTATGAAGTAGCAATGTAAATTAGTGTATGGTTTTGGGGGGTCACCACACGTGAGGAACTGTATTAAAGGGTCGAAGCATTGGGAAGGTTGAGAACCACTGCTGTAGAGGGAATCTCGGACACTCCCTTACCTGGTACTCGGGCAAAGAAAACTAACTGGTATATGCAAACAACGAGCTCGATATTTTTAAAAGTACTTAGACAAGTGTTCGAAAAATGCATGTCCTCATGAGCTGATAAATTTTGAAACAAGGTGCTGCACATATAAGGTGCTGGGTACATTGGGATTCCTTACACTTTTCTCTATATGTTTATGTTAAAAAATTTCCATAGTAAAAATTAAGAAGAATTCTTTAAAGTGAAACACACATTTAAAAGAGTATCGAATTTAAATGCTATTCTATGTTGTAGGAGCCCTACTGGCATAGTAGATTATAAGGCCAGCAGTTTGAAACCACAGCCGCTCCATAGGAGAAGATGAGGCTTTCTATAATTCCCCCTAAAAAGTTAGTGTTGGAGACCCACAGGGATAGTTCTACCTTGCCCTATCTGAGTTGGAATCGATTCAATGGCAGTGAGCGGTTCTATTTTAAATGCTAGGCTATTTCAACTCCAAAAGCATTAATAGTCACATTACAAGAGAGACATGTAACTTATACCAATTTTAACTATCAATCAAAAATTAACTAACCATTTTGAAATTACCAGCAGTGGCCTTGGAGAAAACTTAAAGCTTTAATTTTATTGAAAAGCAACAAAAACAATTTATCTGTCACAATTATAAATAGTTTTACATTAGAATCCAATTAATTTGTACTCCCTAGGCAAGCACTGAACACTAAACAACTTCAGAAATTTAAATTAATAAATTTCCTTTTTGTATTAAATTCCTTAGCAAGCGGAAAGACCAAAACCCAAACACACATTTTGTATTCTTTACACAGCTCTGTACAATCAGTAATATTCTTATATTTATACTGTAAAGGACTTCATGCTGTGTAATTTATCAGTCTCTTGAGGCTTCTGTACATACTGTTTTTAAAATCATTTATGAGAACATTACTAACAAAGAAAATGCTCAGTTTTGAAGAAATAACAAATAAGCAATGAAAGCATGAGTAATTCATTTTAAAAATCTCACCCAAACATTAGAGAACCATAGGTTCTTAAATACTGACACTAAAGAATTAGGACAGAAATCATATACAAGAGGTGTTCACAATACTCGATGAAGATAATTACGTAATGGTCATGCACTGAGTACTCACATGAGCCAGGAATTGTGCTAACAAGAGCAGAACCATTCTGTGACCATCACATTTCTAAGAGGGATTTTGCTTTCTTCTTGTAAAGGACAGCAAGCACATTTTCTAGAATCATGCTTTGGTTATCAACCTCAACTTCATTCTAAGTTTCAAAATGTTTTTTATAGTTTTCTGGTTTAATACTGAGCACAATATGTACTAGTTAAAGCTGACCTAACTGTGCATTATTTCAAGGGAAATAAAAAGGAATCCGTTGAGGCAGTATTAAGGTAAGTGCCTACAGTCTTAGATGTTAGTTCCAATTTTACATAATTCTGGTGGTAGAACAAGGAAGATGTGCATGTCCATTTTAAAACGTGAGAGACAATTCCATGACTTGCAGATTTCAAAATCCAATAAGGATATACGGTTTGAAAGGCAGCTAATTAGACTGCCCCCACTACTCTAAAGGATGCTAGAGCACGACCTATCTTCCTAGCACCTGGACTTTTACCATTTTGCTGACGTGAGCTGCATCTCAATGGGCTTATCCCTCTGCAACATCTTCACAAAGATCTGTGGCAACAATTCTCCATCAACCAAAACTAAAATAAAACAAACAATGAGGATTACAGAAGTTCTTTCATCTATGTATGTATATAATTGAAATAATTTAAATTCGACTAGAAGTTCCAGCCTACCATTTACTAGGGTCATCGATACCTGGGGGTTTTCAAAAGCTAAAACTGAGAAGCATTTCAATGCTTGCATTCGAACCTGTAAAAATAAATGAACAACAACAAATGCATTTATGATAGTGTTTTAAATAAGAATTTGAAATAAATAAGAATTGTAATCTTTCAGAATATAAACTTCTTCTAGAGAAATGATTAAATTGATTGTACTTATTATCATACTAACAGAAGGAATTCAAAGGAATAAAAACAGCACTGGTATATCTGAAGGGTACAGTGAAGAGTTAGAATTAATCATCAAAAGTTAGTTAATAGAAAAATAGTAAGGAAGAAGTAATTTAAATAGAAGCAGGCAAATACTTTAACAAAGTTAAAAGAGCAACACTGCACAAAATTCCAGTAAGACAAAGGTTCCTATAAACACAAAAACTTGCTACTGTGTAGAATCAATTCTGAACCACGTGACACTCCAGGGCAGAGTTGAACTGTCCTTACGGGCTTCCGAGGCTGTACATCTTTACAGGAACATAAGCCTCATCTTTCTCTTGTGAAGCACTGTCAGTCTGACTTGCTGACCCTGGGTTTGCAGCCCATACGGGTAACCTGTTATGCCACCAGGGCAACGTAAAGGCTCCCCTGAAGAGCTCCTGTTTTCCTCCATCAATTTTCCCAGATGATCTAGTCTTCCAAGTCCAATCCTGGGTCTCCACATCACGTTCTCCTGTGGGATCTGCAGTTGGCTGCAAAGATCTGACAGGGAAGCTGCCCCACACCTGGACAATGTCTATAATGCTAGCATGGGCCCACAGGGGGAAGCTGGAACATGTTAGCCACATGGACACTGGAGCAACCTTGTCAAACCAGCAATGCTATCAAATACAGTGAACCCTCGCCACTTCGCGCTTCGACTTCCGCGGCTTCACTCTATCGCGGTTTTTGCGTAACAGCGCATGCTCTGTCATTACTGCCAC